TTTTTTTTTTTTTTTGGACCTCTACCTTTAAAATTTTCTATAATTTAAAAAAAGAGAGGAAAAAAGAAAGCCCCTGGCTTTGCTGTCCCTATCCTGATGTCTCTGTGTACACAGGTATTCACCTTCACCTGGAGAGAAGACATCAGGCCTGGAGACCCCCAGCACACCAAGAAGTTCTGCTTTGATGCCATCTCCCACACCAGCCCAGTCACCCTCTATGACTGCCACAGCATGAAGGGCAACCAGCTATGGAAATACCGCAAAGTAAGATGGGATGTGTGCGAGAGCAGCATTAGGCACCAAACACTTTTTTTAAAGTGATGTCCGGCCTCACTCCTCCTCCCAACAGAGCCCACCCGTTCATTCATTTGTTCCACAAACATATCATACCAAATTTTCCATTCATTCTAGAGAAGTCAGAAACCCAGACTTTGATGTGAAATCTCCAAATCTTAAATGTTGGCAAGTGAGTCCATTTAAAAAGAAAAGAATATAAGAGGCGGGGCACAGTGGCCCACGCCTGTAATCCTAGCACACTCTGGGAGACCAAGGCAGATGGATTGCCTGAGCTCACAGGTTCAAAACCAGCCGAGCAAGACCCCATCTCTAAATAGCCAGGAGTGGTGGCAAGTACTTGTAGTCCCAGCTGCTTGGGAGACTGAGGCAAAAGAATCACTTGAGCCCAAGAGTTTGAGGTTGCTATGAGCTATGATGCCACAGCACTCTACCAAGGGCAACAAAATGAAACTCTGTCTCAAACAAACAAAAAAAGAAAGAATACGGACACATGCACATGGCCAAGGACATTTGATTAGAGGCCAGCTGTGTCCAGGGCCCAGTGCATCACTTTTGCCCACATGCCTGAGGCTAGACAGCTTCTGGCTGCATGCTTAGGTCTGGGGCAGCTAGCCAGTCACCTTCTTCCTGCTGTCAATGTTGCTGCCATTTGACTGGTCATGTCCCCAGTGCTGCCTGGCTGATCATCTCTGTTTTCGCAGGACAAGACCCTGTACCACCCCGTCAGTGGCAGCTGCATGGACTGCAGTGAAAGTGACCACAGGATCTTCATGAACGCCTGCAACCCTTCTTCTCTCACCCAGCAGTGGCTATTTGAACACACCAACTCAACAGTCTTGGAAAAATTTAATAGAAACTGAGCCCTCATGTCCCCTTGGCAGGCCCATTGGGTCCCCTCTGGCACTCCTTCTGGGAGGCGAGGCCTCTGTGGGCAGCATGTGTACAAAGTGCCCCCCACACGGTTCAGGGTGAGCTGGAGGAAGGGGTCTGCCTGTTCCTTCAGCCCTTGAGTCATGGGGTGCTGTGGAAAGCAGAGCCTACAGAGAGTGGATCCCTACTGGCATCACGGAAAATTGGCAGGGCCTTTCCAACTTTATCATAATGTCCCCCTGAGCATTACGCAGGAGAATAGCAGGGCGGTGCTAGGCCACCCAAACGTGGTCCTGCGAGGTTGTGCAGCCCTCCAGTGGCTCTCCAACGTGACGGTGCTTCAGAAGAAAGGCAGAATGTGCCTGTGTGGGCAGCTTTTAGCACCGCTGCCGCCCATCTGCAGCAGAAGAGAAAGAAGTCCTGTCAGGGCCTTTAGTTTCTGCTGTCTTGGGGGTGACTCCAATTACTGCCCAGCTTCTGTCCTCTGTCACAGCCCCAGATGATCCAGTCAAAGGCCATACCCAGGACCCTCAGAGCGTTCAGTACCTAAGGCAGCATTTTGAAATGCCCGTTTAAACGCACTCCAGGCACAAGGATGGCCCAGACACCAGCTTTTAAGGGCTGTGTTTCGGATGCCCTTGAGTCCATGGAAAAGTCCGAGTAGAAGACCTCCAAACTAGAAATGCTGGCTGAACATCCCCATCCATGCTTCCATTTCCCTCTCTTGCTCCAAGCAGTTACCTGCCTCGAGAAGAAGAGAGGGGCTACCAGGTGCTTGCCTTACACATCTGGAGGCCTCCAGGATCAACTGTGGGCAAGATGCCTCGCCTCTGACCTCACCGTGGTTCTAGTTCTCACACAGAACTCCAGAATTCTTGAATGACTCTGTAATTTGATTGCAAACGAGAATGGTACATAGGATTCTGGTGTTCCAGCATCCAATATGGATTTCTAGAATGCTGTGATTAAAGCAGCTAGACAGGTGTGATATAGTCCAGGCAGCCCCCCAGCCTAGAGACAATCTGTGAACTCCAAAGTGGGTGGTGGTGTTAAGGGTGCAGGGAACAGGGGGGACCTGTGTCCATCAGTTCATACCAGAGGCTTTGGTACAGTGTGGTTCTCAGCAAAGACCTGAAGCTGGAGAACCTTCCACCATCATCACAGCTGTAGTCTTATTTACAATAGTGAAAAGAACCTGATGCACCATGGCCAGGCGCACACCCAGTTCCATGCCAGCCCTTCATGTTTACCTTTTGCTTTGTTAATTACCTGTCAGGCTCCCAGAGGGCTTCCAGACTAATAGGAAGCATTTCTTTAACCAACCCACCACCCACTGATTCAGAAATAGAAATCACATTCCACAACCTAAGGTTTCTACCAGCTAGCCTAGGAAATACTTGAAATTAGCATTCCAATTAGAATTGGGTCTTTTGATTGTGTCATTTACCAATTAAATAACTGAGACATAAGTCTGGGAAGAGAGCCACGAATCTGCCTTTGAGATGCTGGCTGATCTCAAGGCCATCAATTATAGGAGGGAGAAGGGAAGGATGAACACGCCCAACCATTACCACCCAGGGCGACCCTGTGCAGCTGGCAAAGGATTACTTCAGCTCCTGGCCCAGCACAAGCCCTGCTCTGGCCACCTGGCCACAAGAGAGGCAGCCCCCCTGCTTGCATAGCTTGCGTGTTAATCCCTGTTGTCCATTTCCAAACAAGTGCTATATCTTTAGAAGTGGCCCTCTGTAGAAAGGAGTCAAAAGACGAGGCCCCTTCTAGAATCTATAACAAGAGTGTTGCTAGTTTGGGGAGTTGAAATTGAGATCCGTTATTAGAGAGCAATGCAGCATCATTTAAATAAAAACTGTGCCTTTTAAAAAGAAAAATGCAAATGTACAGCAAATCCCTAAACTTGAACCATTTCCTAGTGCCTTGCTAGACAAACATAAAGGGGCAGGGTTGGGGGGAGGGGAACATTTTTGGTGGTGTGTGCAGTTCCTATTGGTTGAGCGTGTGTTTCTTAATGTCTAATTTCAAGCAGGAGATGTCAGGTCTCTAGGCAAGATTTGAGACTGAGATGCCTCCCAAAGGCCAGAGCTGTTCTAGTCAGTGCAAGTCACACTCCAAATTCAAAGGCAGCTGGGCACCTCATTTAGCCTGTGGACTCGAAGAGCCTCAGCAGCCTCTCTGAGAGAAGGCCTGGCATTACCTCACTGGGTTCCATTTGGGGGCCGTACCTGTGGTCCCCACCGCCCCCCGAAACAGAGTGCTTATCCTGGGCTTAGGGAATGCAGAGCCCTGGCTGGGCTTCCAAATAGTCCCACTTCAAGTGGGTGGCAGTGTCCTGGTCAAGGCCAGGACTCCTGTGGAAAGCAGGAGCAGCAGCAAGCCGTCCTCAGCCTTCCTTTTCCCACGCTCTGGCTCTCCTTTCCAGCCTGGTTTCATACCCTAAACAGGGACAGACGTGTCCTCCAAGCCCTCTAGAATTAGCAATTGTTGAGCCCCCATCAGTAGGTCCTGGGACTTGTAAAAGTGTGCAGGAGACGAAAGGACAGCACTTTAGTGGCTCAATTTCACTGATCGACTGACTAATTATCAATACTAAGCCTCATTGTTTCGGCCTCATTTCTGAAAACCACCTGTCTCAAGGATTGAGGTTTCAGCTCACATCTTCAGCTTCACTCAATAAAACTGAGCCAGGAGCCTATGGGAATGGGTGAGAATGACAGCCCCTTTCCTCTAATACCTTTATTCAAGGATGAGGTCACCGAAAAAGGTGTAGCTAGAAAGTATTGTGACCCTGTGGTCCACCAGCAGCCTTTCAGAAGTGGGGCTACAGAAGCATATCAGAATGCAAAGAGTATCTTTGCTGTACGTACAAGGCCTTTGGATGTGGCTAAATTTGCAGGCACATGTGTGAAAAGCCATTCCATTTTCTGCTTCCAGTTGGAGCTTTCAACTTTGAAAATAGTCCAGGAACTGTTGATTCTTCCCTTTAGGAAAAAATAGCTCAGAGGCAGAGGAAGGTACGTGTGCAGAGGGATCTGCTGCGAGGGGTGGGTGGGGAGACTGTGGGGGAGGGACGGGTGACAATCGGGTCCAAGAGAAAAAGAGCAGTTTTTGTTGAAGATGTAGCATATGGATCCAAAGTCTATGTTACAGTCACTTTTCAAACCTCCTACCTATTGAATTTGATTTTCTCCTTAAGAAATAGGTGATGTTTTTGAAAAAGAGCTCCCTCTTTCCAAACAGCTTCATTTTTCTAGTCTCTGGATTCTCAAAGGAGTGGCAAAGCACTTTACAGTAGTAACTGAGAGATCCAGATTCCTTGCTTCAGTGATACCTAGTTTGTACAGATTGGGAAATCTTTTATAATTCCCAGGAGGCAATGCATTTTTAATGTTTTCTGAAGATTTGTAAGTGTGGGTAAGGGTCAAGTTCTGTCTGGAAGTCTTTATTGCTTTCAACTAATACTCTTTGTGAAAGATCCAAGTGATATTTTAGTTCAAACTTGATCATGAGCCACACTGCCACCTCTGGGGTGGGAGCTGGACTTAACATACCAAGTGACAAGGTCATCTTAACATCTGCTTCAAATGGCTTTGATTCAGCTGTGCCAGACAACAGAGTCCAGCCCCGGCTCTGTTACTGGCTGGAAGACTAGGATCCCAAAGGGGTTACAGGCAGGGAGTATTTGGGAAGTCAGACTGAGATTCTATAGAGAAAGTGCCAGACCACCAACCTCTTCTCCTGCCTGGAAAAGTGAGCCTTTGTGAAGAACTGACTTACCATGTACAATTGTGATTGTGATTGTTGAGTAAAACTCCAGAATTTCTCTAAACTAGTCTCTGGCGTTTGTGTCATTCTCCTTACCTTAGTTCCCCACCTGTTCCTTAAGCACCCATCCAGGCGCCCTTCTGGGTCCTAAACAAAATCCCAACCCCCTTGCCTCTAGATGGGGAGGCAGACATAAGACAACTTAGATGATTTCAGATGCAGATAGGGCTATAAATAATATAAAACAATGATATTTTAGAGAGTGGGGTAGGATCAACAAAGGTCAGCGAAAAGGTCTGTGAGAGCTGAAAAACATGAGGAAGGAGTGTGAACCAAGAAGTGATTTCAGGGAGGAGAGTTCCAGGAGGAGGGAACAGCTAGTGTGACGGCCCTGAGGAGGTGCGCTCAAAGGATTAGGCAGGGCAGCTTACCAAGGCTCTCAGAGACTGTACCCAGGAGTGGAGGACTTCCGGTGGGCAGTGACCATGTGGAAAGAGTGTACTTCATTTCTGATGCTCACCCACCAGGCACAAGTAACTTGCTCGGTAAAGGGTGTTGATGCTGTTGTGTGATACCGTGGGGTGGAGAGAGCACACATTGGCCCCGCTCTGAAAACAAACAAAAAAGCACCTCAGTGAAATCTTGTTGAAATGCTGCCTCCAAGTAAGCCTCAGTTTTCCATGGTAAAATGACTCGTTTTTATTGGAGACCTTGGTAAGGTGACCCCAAGCAGAGGCTGCCCCCAGCACTGTCACTGCAGGACCACCAGAGGGTGCTGTGGACCATGGCTTGGACAAGGCTGAAAAATCTGGCCCCTGGGGCAGATTTGAGCCCTAGGATGAGAAAGTCTTTTTAAAAGTCCTCAGTGCCTCCAAATACTGTGGCATAGTCTTAATTTTGCATATAAAACTGAGGCCCAGAGAAGCCTCTGATCCAAAGTGACATGGTAGTTAGAGACACAGGTTTTCAGTATCCCTAGTCCCATATTAATTCTCACACAATATCACCTTAGGAGAAAAGTTGCCATGTGCTACTGAAATTAAGTTGGTATTAATCTGAACTGGAATTTTTTTTTTGAGACATAGTCTTAATCATCTAGGCTACAGTGCCATGGTGTCAGCCTAACTCACAGCAACCTCAGACTCCTGAGTTCAAGTGATCCTCCTGCCCCAGTCTCCTAAGTAGCTGGGACTATAGATACCTACCACAACACCCAGCTAATTTTTTTTATTTTTGTAGAGATGGAGTCTCATTCTTGCTTAAGCTGGTCTTGAATCTCAAGCTGAGCGCAAGTGATCCTCCCACCTCAGCCTCCCAAAGTGCGAGGATTACAAGTGTTAGCCCTGAGCTATCGTTTTTTTATTAACATGTTAATTGTAATCCCCAGAGCAATGACTAAGAAAGTGAACCAAAAATATAGTTTTTAAAAAGAGAGAGAAAGACAAGGGAATCAAAATAGCATACTAGAAAATATCTATTTGACCTAAAAGAAAGCAGTAGTGGCTCAGTGCCCATAGCACAGTGGTTACAGTGCCAGCCACATACACCAAAGGTGCCAAGTTCAAACCCAGACCAGGCCAGCAAAACAACACTGACAACAGAACAACAACAGTAACAAAAAATATCTGGGCACCTATAGTCCTAGCTACTTGGGAGACTGAGGCAAGAGAATCGCTTCAGCCCCCAAAGAGTTTGAGGTTGCTGTAAGCTGTGATACCACAGCACTCTACTGAGGGTGACAAAGTGAGACTCTGTCTCAAAAAAAAAAAAAAAAATCAGTAATGGAGGAGCTGAAGAACAGAAAAAAAAGAGATAAAAGACAAATGGCAAACTGGCAAAAGTAAGTCTTTCCTATCAGTAATTACAAAAAGTAAATGGATTCAACTTTCCACATACAAAAACAACATATCAAAAGTTAGGGAATGCAGCAAAAGCAGTGCTCTGAGGGAAATTTATAGCTGTAAATGTCAACATTTTAAAAAAAGAAAGATTTAAGTCAATAACTCAACCTTCTACCTTAAGAATAGAAAAGGAAAAGGAAAAAAAAAAAAGAAAAGCAATAACAAACTAGATCTGAAGCAAATAGAAGGAAAGCAGCAATACAGATTCAAGTGGGAGAAGACATTCACATGCTATGTATCTGACAAAGTGCTAATGACCAGAATCGACAAAGAATTCGGGCAAATAAAAAAAGAGCAAACAACCCACTTACTCACTGGGCAAGAGACATGAACAGAATCTTCTCCCAAGAAGACAGACAAACGGCCAATAAACACCTGAAAAAATGCTCAACATCTCTACTGGTCAGAGAAATGCAAATGAAAACCTCTTTGAGATATCACCTAACTCCAGTAAGAATAGCTCAGATCACAGGGTCCCAAAGCTACAGATGCTGGTGGGGTTGCAGACAGAAGGGAAAACTTTTACACTGTTGGTGGGATTGCAAAGTAATGCAGCCTTTTTGGAAAGAAGTATGGAAAATCTTCAAAAAACTAAAAGTAGGCTCAGCACCTATAGCACAGTGGTTACAGCACCAACCACATACACCAAAGGTAGTGGGTTTGAACCCGGCGCCAGCCAGCTAATCAACAATGACAACTGCAACAAAAAATACCTGGGCATTGTAGTGAGTGCCTGTAGTCCCAGCTACTTGGGAGGCTGAGACAAGAGAATTGCTTGAGCCCAAGAGTTTGAGGTTGCTGTGAGCTGTGACAGCACAGCACTCTACTGAGGGTGACAAAGTGAGACTGTCTCAAAAAAAAAAAAACTAAAAGAACACAGACCCTTCCATTTGATCCTACAATCCCATTACTAGGTATCTACCCAGAAGAAAAAAAAATAATTTTATCATAAGGACATGTGCACTCAAATGTTCATAGCAGCTCAATTCATAGTTGCAGAGATGTGGAAGAATTCAAGTGCCCAACAGCCCATGGATGGATTCCTAAACTGGTATATGTATACAATGGAATACTACTCAGCCATAAAAAGATGGACACTTTACAGCTTTTATATTTACTTGGACAGAGTTTAAAAACATTCTCCTTAGTAAAGTATCTCAAGAATGGAAATGCAAGCACCTCATGTACTGAATACTAATTTGAAACTA